GATTAAACTGACTCTTGATTTTAAAATAGGAATTCTAAATCTGTTACTAGGATTTAAAAGTTGGTGTCTATTATGATACTGGAAATTGGAATACTATATTTTGTATTACTATTCTATCTCGATCTATAGTATATAAATATGAATTTCTAGGTCTACAGTCCCACATGGGCTTCATTGAAACATACGACAAAGTTTATCCATTTCAAACAAGCCAGGAAAACAGATAACTAGTCTTGCATCAGGCCCCGCAAATGTCCAATTTTCTCTCGGGAAATACATAAATATCAGAGACATATTTCATAGCCAGAGGCCAAAAATGTCAAAATCGATATAAAATCTAAAAAGGATAAAATGTCCCCTCGAATACGGTACCTAGGTAATTAAATCTAATATTTCATAGTTCCCGCATAATAAGCATAAAACTTTCATTTACCGCTGTATCGAAATTCACGTGATCCCTTATTGAAGTTTTACTAAATAATTGAGTTTGATCATTTAATGCTGTTGGATAGAATATTAGGCTGAAAAGAATCAAAATTTTAGCCCATGTCTAAGTGAATGGTATAAATTCACATAGTTCTGATTACAATGAGAATGCTAAAAAAAAATCCTGGCATTTCCTTTACTCTACGTTTATAATCACGTATCATGCTTATTAACTAGATCAATACAGACTCGATTTCCTTTGCCCACCTTCAACATTGTTATGTAATGACGGGAAACAGTCACTGTAATCTTCTAATCAGCCGTTTGTTTTTATTGTAATTAGGAAACTAATCAATTTTGATTTCGTATTGTTTCAATGAACAAAAAGCACATTAGTTCAGCATTTCAAGGAAGGGGGGGGGGTGTAAACAATTACTGACTGTCAAGTACATGTATCTCTCACGAGGCCCTATTTCCACAACCCTCCACTCATGCATACGCCTATCATATAATGGATAGGGAAATATATAACATTCCAACAGATACTGTCTTGACCTCCTACCCTTTTACACCGGGTCTCTTCTTGAACCCCTCCCATATTCTAATGTTTCTCGAAACTGCTCATGTTAACTTTGTAAGGCAATGTAGGGTTTGCTACGGGTGTGACTTGCAATGTATAACTTACTTGTACTTGTATAAGAAATAAAAACAAATAAACAAACATAAAAACTTGTGCTCATAATTAATACGGTGATAAGCAACAAAAGGTTAAAATAAAAAATTTCAAAAACAGCCATGCACTACCCTGCATTTTAGCTGAAATTAAGTTTATTCCAAATAACTTATGTAACGAAATGGAAATGATTCGAAAAATAACAATTCGATGAACATTTCACAATGAAGCAAACAAAACCAGATAGTAAAGAATTATTCTAATTTAAACCGACGTGAATCCTCAACCCTAAAGAGTTTTCGTTTTCGGTCAGGGGGGGGGGGTGCGATTTTGCCATAAGCAACACAAAAAATTAAGTTTTCTTTTGAATTTTACAAAAATTGATGCAACTTCCTTCAAAATTGAGCTAGAAGCTTCAAATAAAAAGCATTTTAAAGCTCTTTTCTACCTCTATCCAATGGTCATATTTTCAAAGGTTATGGGGGGGGGTGCGATCGCACCCATCGCACCCCCCCTGGCTACGCCCATGCTGGTGACATTTGAAAGACTAATTTCTTAATCTAATTTCAACAAAACAAATCAAAACCTAAACAGGTTGACGGTCTTTGTAGATTATAGACCATGCTAACAAAGTTTAAACATTTTATTTACGGCTTATTTAAAACATGCAAACGGGTGTATTTACTGAAGGAATATGTTAGGAAATATATTTAAAGTGTATTCATGCCTGCAATCATCGCTGGTCACACCTGAAAAACAACTTCTTAAAATACAAACATAATTCACTGCACTGCTGTATACGTCTACCTGCTCTCAAATCTAATAATGAAACGAAAAAAAATAATGCATGCCAAACTTTTATCTATTGTAATATTATCTATGGTTATTTCAAAGTTTTACTCTTGCATCAAGCAACTGTGCCATTTCCCCAACAGTCCTGTCTTTAAGGACTAACACTTTACTTGAGGCAAGATGCATAAACTTGAACTCCCTGGGCTATAACTCAATTGTCACTGCTTGTGTGTCATACTCATTGGCACCTGCAAAACAGAATAATATAATAAGAATAACATCATGATGATATCAGATATCATATTTCATTTGGAGCCTTAAATATTAAACAAGGCATAAACATGAAAAATGTCACCACCCGCCATTTGTTACAGACGCTGAACGCCGACCCCAGACGCTAAACACCGTACATAAAAAAGTTGGAGACTTTAACAATATGTGACCACTTTTGGTGGTGACATAAAAAGGGGAAGTCCCGTCTTAATAAAACTCCTGATTTCCAGTTTTTTGTAAACATACACCATTGCATGTTGATGGTTCGCATGACCTGCAGGTCACGATGACAAATGAATGTTACGTTGTCAATAGAATGTAGGCTAACTAACTTTCACGTAAGGTAGATTCCCCGGGTAGATTCGCGAGATTCGTGATTATTCCCCCGGGATTAGGCTATTCCAAAGCAAACACCAAAGATACCAAATCGAACTCCCAATGAATTATTGATCGTATCTATCCTAGGGCCTATCATTTCAATGTAATTTAAAGGCTTACAGGGGTGCTTCAAAATCATCCCTGCGGCCCAAGAGTAATTCATTGCATTGTGACATTCATGAGCTGCTATGAAAGCAGTGAAGGACCGATCTTGAAGGATGCTTCAAAATCGGGTTCAAATTGTAATATTGAGGCCTACTAATCTTTCATAACACGTGACGCATTCTATATTAGCATTAAGAAATGAGAAATGGGCGTAGGAGCGGAGTAAGAGACCCAGGATAAGAAGAACCATTGGGCAAGATGGCCCACCAAGTTTGTTTATCATCAAATATACATCGCCTGATATTATCTCCTGACAGGGACAGCATCGATCTCAATGGCCATTGCACTTTGTTTCATTTAGGCGGCACCTTCTCCAAGAAGAAACTCTTTTAACGGCACCACTTCTGTAAGTCTGTGGTAAAAAACCTCCCGTCCGAAGAAGTTATCTTACAGAACGGCCCCTTTTGACCCTCGGGGGCCCTTCTTGCCCTGCCATGGCCACACAAAACCATTTCCAGTAGTGACATTTGCGAGTTAATACCAATAAGAATAAAACGGACCGAATAAAACCAATGTCCTTTTTTCAATAAACATGGCTACATGTATATTTAAAGTTTATATACCCATTCGGGGAAGACAATATAAATAAAACAATGTATTTTAAATTAGCACACAGAACAACTTTTAAATAATTACACATTTTTATTAAATTTTTCGAATTCATTTGGTACGCCTGTGCGCATTTGGCGTAATATATGCGATACGCCAATGTGAGTGTTAGAATAGAAACATACACATCAATTCCAATTTTCGTTTGATTCCTGTATGATTCCTGAAGGCTGGATTCATTTGTAAACTATATTGCATATGAATCCTGCTTGAATCCTGGCTACAGGATTCATTTGCAAACTACCTTCTATATGAATCCTGTACGAATCCTGAAGGCTGGATTCATTTGTAAACTATATTGCATATGAATCCTGTATGATTCCTGAAGGCAGGATTCATTTGCAAACTACCTTCTATATGAATCCTGTACGAATCCCGAAGGCTGGATTCATTTGTAAACTATATTGCATATGAATCCTGTATGATTCCTGAAGGCAGGATTCATTTGCAAACTACCTTCTATATGAATCCTGTACGAATCCTGAAGGCTGGATTCATTTGTAAACTATATTGCATATGAATCCTGTATGATTCCTGAAGGCAGGATTCATTTGTAAACTATTTAAACAGCGAATCCTGTATGAATCCTGGAGGCAGGATTCATACAGGATTCATATGTGCATATGAATCCTGTATGAATCCTGACTCCAGGATTCAGTGGTTTGATTCACATTTTTTGCTGTGAATGTCATCACTTTTGATAACATCACAATATAAACACCTGTCATGTCATGAGCCACAAAGGAGAATAAACACAGGTCATTTTGGACCAGCGGCCATCTTGAAAAGTGAAAAAGTCATTAGCAAAGGAAACCTTCGACTTAGGAAACACACTACAATCTGTGACAAGACATTTGTGAATAACAGTTTTCTGCAGCAGACACAATTAAACTCCTAACGAATGCACATGGGGACTCAATGATGGTAACCTCTAGAGTGTATGAGTGGTACAAGCGGTTCAAATCTGAAAGGGGAACTGAGACCGATAATCCAAAATGTGGGCATCCGAGAACAGTGAGAGCCCTAACTAATGTGGACGGGATGGATGCTAAAATAATGATTATGGCTAATAAAGGGTGTGATAACATTTTTAATTTCCAGGAATCCACCTTTATTCTTTTTAATTTCCAACAAGTATGATGCGACTATGACAAATTAATACTTTGAACACTTTATACAAAAACTACTATTTTTACAAAAATGTCATGTTTTGCGTGTTGTTACAAGGTCTGCTCCACCTACCCTACCCCTAGGTCACTATAGCAACCATATTATTCAGTCTACTGAGTTTTATGATATGAAACTTTTCAACTTATTCACAACATATTTGGACACATTTTGTCAAAAGATCAGCTAGATTGAAAAGAAAACAAATAAAATACAGCATCATTCCTGAAACATATGGAACACCCTGTAAACAGAATATTTTGACTGATCCAGGTATAACTCACAAAATGATTTCATGATGAGCTAGCTCACTTATCTATTATTCACTTATCCTAATTAATACTTTTGTAATTTTATTTACTTTTTCATTTGACCTACTTTGCAATAAGAAATCATCATGTGAAATTACATCTATTAAGCTTAATATGTTTATATTAATATAAGCAATGATTTGCCGTACACTGTATAACCTTATCTTAAACTTATAAATGCATCAATCTCCATTCATATGTTACAGGATTTTGTATAGACCTTTTGAAGAACCTTTCATCAAGGATAGGCTTTACTTACACGCTGAAGAGGTCGCCAGATGGTAACTGGGGTGCTAAGAATAATGTTACAAGAAAGTGGAATGGAATGGCCAGAGAGCTTGTCGACAGGGTATTAAAATACATCTTAACCCCTATAATTGATAGATTATTCCTACGATACTGTAGAGCCTAAATATTACTAATCAAAAATTTCAAAAACGTCTTGGTTAAGCTTTAATGTACTGTTTAAGAACACACATTCTTACTATTGACAATGGATTATAGCAATACTATCCCACACGAATGCAAAATTTCTTGTTGGGATTCGATCAGCTTGTGTTTGTCTGAGAAAATGAGGATTTCAGCAAGGTTGCAAAAACATTGTGACATACCTGATGGTATCCAGTTGCTATGTCATTGGCCAATGGGTCAATGGCGAATGTCCCCGTGTTAAGTTAATGCATCCTTGCTGAAATCATCATTTTCTCAGAAGAACTCAATTTGATCGAGTCTCAACAAGTAGATTCCTGTTGGATATCATTGATAATATTTTTTCAATGGTAAGAATAAGGTTTTTAAACAGGACACTGAGCTTGTTTTTTAGAACTTTTTTTTGTTCGTATTCAATACAATTGGAACTCTAGATTACAAAAATACACAAAAAGTTTAAGTTGTCATATTATAATACTTGTGAAAATAAATTCTCATCGAATTCTTTTACAATAAGATCTAGATTGAGCACAGGTATCACAATTGAATTCACTCAGGTCAAAGCAAAACGTCTTAATGAATTTATGAATTTATCATGTTTGTTGCTTGTGTAGAAAGCTGATATGGTTGTCGCCTCTTATACAATCACCAACATTAGAGAGAGGGATTTTGACTTTACCACGCCTTATTTGGACCTTGGGATGAAATTTCTCATGAAGGTATACTCATTTTATTCTCTTATCTAAGGAATCGGAACAATGGAAACGTTAGACTTGTTTAAATTCTTTATTGCAGAGATCATTCAGGTTCTAAGTGGCATGGGTAATTCCAGTATTTAAACTTTGATGAACCTTCTATCCTCAATTTCATCATTCCCTTAATATTTTTAATATTTATTATCCAACACTAGATTTGTTAGATCCTCTCAAGGATGCTAGACAAGAAAAGACTACTACAGGGTGTGCCACAAAATTTTGCAACTTTTTTAAAAGGCTTAAAAGTTTGATAACATAAAGGCTTTGACATATACAATTATTTACAGCAACTTAAGAAGAGGCAAAATTCATTTACAGCAACTTAAGGAGAGGCATATTTTACCAATTAAATACGTAAACTAATACTGACTTCAATTTTTTCGACAGATTTTTAATTGAATGTCAATGGTAAATTGGTCATGTGTTACCTAGAAATGTGACTTTCTATGATTTTGTGTCATCAACAATAAAACATTCATTATGTTCACTGAATCTGCTACAATATTTGATTGTAGATTGTAGCTTAAATATTGTAGCTTAAATATTTAATTGGTAAAGCCTCTGCTTAAGTTTCTGTAAATAAATTTTTATGGCAGTGCCTTAATATTATGATACTTTTCTATCCTTTTAAAAAGTTGCTTAATTTTATGGCACATCCTGTATATCTAGTATATCCAAATTGATAAAGGGTAAACAGCTTATACTTTGAGGTCTTGTTTTAACAAGTTTTAAAGTTTGAATAAATGACAAACCTGAATGATTCACTACAATATGTATGTCGATAAAAATATTAGGACCATTAAAGGTCATTTATTTATGCACCATCCACATTGCACTCCTCTCCAAATGCAAGTATTCAAGGTTGTTAAACATTTCAAAGGGGTGTATTAGTTAGAATACCAAGAGGTCTGATATTGATTTGTGCTTTTAAAGGGCCCTCAAATAATATTACTGGAAGCTTTGGTTAGAATACTGATTTGTGCTTTTAAAGTGCCCTCAAATAATATTACTGGAAGTTTTGGTCAGAATATCAAGAGGTCTGATATTGATTTGTGCTTTTAAAGTGCCCTCAAATAATATTACTGGAAGCTTTGGTTAGAATACTGATTTGTGCTTTTAAAGTGCCCTCAAATAATATTACTGGAAGTTTTGGTCAGAATATCAAGAGGTCTGATATTGATTTGTGCTTTTAAAGTGCCCTCAAATAATATTACTGGAAGTTTTGGACCACCCTGCATATTGCATCGTGTCACCATGAACTAAAACCAAATTCCTTGATAGAACACTGTCTAGCAAACTTAACTGGATGTACCCTTGTAAAAGTACACAACTTACCAATCAAGTTCGGTGCTCGATACTGAAATAACCTTTACGTTAATTGAATTTTAGATTATAAACGTAAATCGATATAAGTTATTAATATTCATTTGTCTGACTTCTTTATTTATAAGATGAGTAAGGAAGTAAGTTTTGTTTTCAAAAAATAAATGTCTGCATGTTTCAAAATGCCTCACCCAGCAATATCCCCTCTCTACGACCAGCAGCACTTATATATGGTTTGGTATATCCTTTGGTGTTTTGGTATCACCTTTCTGGCCAAATTTTGATTTTGTTTAATTTTACATATTTTATCATACATTATAGCCATAGGATATATGCTAGTTCCATGACCACTTTCAATACTGCTTGTGTGAAAATCTAAAACCCGGTTCACAATTATTAATGGCTGAGATTTGGGACACTGATTCAGGTGTATGTTAGTCAATTTTAACCAGTTTTTGTTCACATAATTGACTTTTTGTTTAAATGTAATATATTCTAACTTTGAATATGCCACATTAATTATTGCATATTATTTTTTTCTCTCATTATTCTTTATTTGTATTTCCTTTGAGTATTCAGTACCATGAAGTTTTCAATATTATCGATGGATTTGCGTTAGGGGATTTTTGAAGTTATTTTTATGTGTTTATGTATAGCTATTGAGTTATCGCCATCTATATACTAATGAGCCACTAATTTGCAATACCATTCTATTTCATTCATTTTACACAAAATTTATATGCATGTATTTGTTCTGCTTAAGGAATGTGTGTTATATTTATATTCATTCTTTGGAAATGCACAGTTGGCTTTGACAAATGTACGTAGCTCGTTCTTCGGTTACGCCGGGAACATTTTTTGGTCTATCTTATGTCCCTTTGGTCTAGCCATGTGTTTGGTAAGACGTTTTCACAACTAGATTGTGTCCCCCACCCGTTAAGTTGCGTGTCTTCTCGAAATGGAAATAAATTTATTACCTGTACCTCCCATTATTAGCTCACATGGTGAGCTTTTGCAATCTCCGTCTGTCTGTCCGTCCGTCTGTCTGTCTCTCTGTCCGTCCGTTCATATGTCTGTCTAACTGTCAACGATAGCGGCACGTTTTTTAAAACCTCCGTCGATACGATTACAATTTTCGTTAGGCTATTATTGTAAACTATCAATACAAGAAAATCCCCTATTTTGTATAATATGGCCGCCATTTTTGTAGCGAAAAACTCAATTTTTAACTACAACTCTCGACTCTTGTTGCTTCGATGTGCATTTTATTTTCAGCTCCATCATGTATAATCAATGAGATGTTGAAGTTCGACAACAGTTCTTGGAAACATTAAGAATGGCCGCCGTTTTTGTGGCAGAAAAAATCTATCTATAGATTTGACCTTCAATGACATTCTCAAGGTCAAAATAGATTTGACTTTCAATGACATTCTCAAGGTCAAAAAGGTCTTTTTTCATCTTGCTTCAAATTGACCAATTTATTTTTTAAAATCATCTACAAGTTCTCAGAGGCTAAAGCTGACTTTAGATTTGAGATTCCACCTTCAATGACCTTCTCTAAAAGTTTTTTTACACATTGCTTCAAATTGACCAATTTATTTTTTTCAAAATCATCTACAAGTTTTAAGAAATTCAAATCTGACTAAGATTGAACTGGTAATATTGTGAGCAACAAGGTGGTGACATTGTGTCATGTTATAATGCCTTGTTCAAAAATGGCCGCCATTTCGGTTTTGGGATTCATTTATTCAGCTCCAAATCAGGAACTCTTCCTTTGATTTGCATTTAAATTTGCATAAATCTAAAATGGCCAGCACTTTTCAAAAAATTTATATGACCAGCAATTTTATACGGAAAAGTCACATTAAGAGTGATAACATAGAAAGTATATTGCTTTGATTTGCAATAAAATGTCCCAATCTGTTCTCATACTGTATGTGATACCATTTATGTTTATAGAAGCCAAGTTCAGGAATCATTGCTTTGATATGCATTCGAATGCACAGGTACATGTATGTCATCGTGCCGATGAGGTTTCAATGTCAATGTGTCTGTCAATTAGACGGGAATCACTATACCATGTGAGGTCAGTACCCATGGTGCTGTTTATAATTATCATTATTCTTTTCTTTAGATGAAGGCTATTGAATGGTGGCGTTGAGCTGTATATTCTTTGCAATCATTACGATGTTTGGTTATAAATTGATCTTGATATCTCAATACTTGTGCATGTTTTGGTGTTGGTGATTTTTTAATGATTGTCGTCAGTCACCCTGAGGATAAATATTGTATTTCGTCACGTTGTAATTGTTTTGCATTAGAAGTAATAATATAAGATTTCTTTTTCGAGTGCTCCTTTTTATCACACCCTTTTGGGTACTATATTGTGGTCAGTTTTCCGAGCGGGTGGTTGCGTGGGCGGTAGGGTGGGCTGGCGTTCGAGCTGGAGTCCCGATAAATCAAATTTGAGGGATTCATCTGATATTTTTGGGTATGTTTCTCCGTATGCAAGTTTAGAATTGATTAGTTTTGAAATCAATTTTTAAATTTTTTATTCTTTTTACAAATGGGTTGTGGTTTTATGGGTTATGGTATTGGATTTAATCAAAAAAAATTTGACGAACATATGGTCGCATTGCAGCAAGGTGGAGAGAATTTTAACTATAGATATATCATTCTACTGTCATCTAATGACCACAATGCCTGATATTGCATAAAATAATACTGTCAAAAGCACAGTTCATTTTCAAATGCATTATAATATGTAGAGTTCTGTGTGTTGTTGTGTTATTGATATGATAATTTATAATAAGTGTTCTTTTGCAGGAAGAACTGACTGAGGTACCTGAACCATTCAAGTTCCTAAACCCCTTTAGCACCGAGGTGTACCTTTATGTGATCCTGACAACAGTCCTTGTCAGCATTTATACGTCATTACTCAACAAACTTAGCCCGTATGATCATCACGGTGGCTTTGTATACGATGACGAACCACCACCAAGGTAATTCTGCTTCCCACCCACTTCTATCATCCTCCTAACACAGGCCTCCGGAACTGGTATCGCATTTTTGAAAGAAAGAAGGAATGCAGTGGATCACGTCTGGACCTCTGCGTTCGGAGGATGGCCTCTCTTAACTGGAATTAAATTAATATAATATATCGAGGAAATTTAAAATATTCAAACCTTGTAATGTCCAATTGTAAATTCTTCAAATATTGCGTATATACAGTTGGGGCCAAAAAACTTCCACATTTTTTATTTTTGTAATATCTTTACTGATATGCTGCAAATATCAATAAATTATATATCATTTGAAAGATAATTCAATTTTCGACAAAATGATGTATGATTCATAAAATATGAATGGCTATACTTTACCCTCATATAGGCATCTCCAAAATGTCTTGAACAGTAAATATTCGACTATTTGACACAGACTTCACGACAGTTTTGAGGCTTTTTTATCAATAGTTATCATGATGGTAACATCACTCAATGATATTGCATTTGTACATCAATTGTCTTTCATTTGATACGTAAATCAACAATTTTGACCATCTATAATTAGAATTATATCCCCAAAGCTGACATAGGGGTTATATCTATCTGCTCAGTTCTTAGCATGCTGTCTTCAGCAATCAGTAAATCACGAGTTTGACCCCTGTGGTAATCGAAAATATATTTTAACAAATTCTCATTTATATTGAATGAATTATATATCATATATCATGTTGGAAATTGAATTGCCTTTCCAATTATATATGATTTATACATTTGTCTGTAATATCAACAAGGCTGTAGCAACAACAAAAAATGTGAACGTTTTGTGGCCAAACCTGTAGTGTGTAACTAGGAGTTCAGTGTGTTTGTTTGGTAGGCTGTACTTGTATAATGAATTGCATAACAAAGGAAAGATAATGATGATATTGGTACAATTTAACTATTATTGAATAGGTCAAAATCAGAAAACCATTTCACACACAGGTAAGTCTAATGGTATAGAGATATACGCGGGGTGGTCGTATAATAACAACCCACTATTTGCTAAATGTAATCGGCTCTAATGCTCTGAAATCTAAATCTGGACAAGCACAACTAAAATGGTGATAGATCAACATGACTGTCTTGGTTATGGTAGCAATGCAATTAGTATAATAATGCTAATGGTATTTTAGTATGTAAAATTATCGTGGACACTCTCTTATTTCTCACATGGTATCGTTATAATGATATATATTGGTTCACATTTATTAACAACTTATTTTCTCACCGAACTCATGCTTTGTTTGTGAAATATACCGTGCGATTTACATTGACACATACGATCAGAAGAATTCTCTTATTTTTTGTTATTTGTTACAGTTTCATTAAATAATCTAACGTGAATTATTTCATCGTTAGATTATTCATCAATCCATTTCTATTTGTTTTATAAAACGGATTTGCCATGTGGACTGGACTGAATATTTTGGTTTCAAACAAACAATTACTTGTAACTTTCAATGTGAAGTGATAGTTTAGTCATTTGACTAAAAAAATAAGCATATTGTTAAAATCTCATCGTCATTTTCCTGACATCTGATCCATATAATATAATACATGTGAGAGTCTTTTTCAAATTTTTGGCACATCCTGTAGATCTCAATTTTTAAAAAAGTGGGACTCAATTTTTGAAAAATGGGCCAAATTATTTTAAAAGCTGATGAATGTCTTTCTTCTAACATATTACTAATCGATATTAACACAATGAAATAAATTATTTTTGTCGATAATCTTTAATCAAAAGTCGATTTAATTTTTTTCCATTTTCTTTTCTTCGTATAATAAGAGAGTAAGTACCGTTTTGTAAATGCTAATCGTTGCCAATAGTTAATGAGTGTTGATGAATGTTGTATCACAGTATAGTAGTGTAGTTATTGTTATTGCCCACTTATTTTCCCCAACAACGTTTGGCGTCTGTGAAAAATGTTACCATTTTTAATTTCACTACATGATGTCGCCATGATAATGGTGACAATTTGTCACGTTAATGTTTGTTGTCTGCGTTGTCAAGTGAAAAATGACAATGGGTGTTCCAGTAGTTTGGTAGGACCAATTGCAAGTAAAGTACAGAGTTCAAATGCAGTTTGTGATTTATCACTATAAATACAAAACACTACATTAACACCTGTGTATCAAAATGAACATTTTTGGCGATAGAGAGAGGTGTTTACTAAGACATGTTTTACTGTATTGTTTGCTCTTGTAAAAGAATCAGTCGTCCTGTGTGTAATAAAAAACATTTTTCTGAAGTAACTGTGAACTTTTTTTGCAAGCGAATTTTGAGCGCAGTTGCGTTAAGCTGGTGATGTGATATGATTCTTTATTTCTTCTTTTGGAGAGTCTGTGTGTAGGAACAAATCGAATATTGGATTAATTAATCATAAGTTGTAACTCGCATAAAGAAAAGTTAATTTCTCCATCTTAGGTTGTAATGACTGTAGCTTATGTGAAGCATGGCATGACAAAGGCGAGACAAGTGCCTCAAATAATGTAAAGAAAAATATAAGTTCATACATTTTCAACCGAAACTGTGAAAGTGAAGTCTTGTAATTGACGATTACGTAATTGCGTAACTTGTTTCTTTCGCTTGTGCATTCATTTTGCATTTATCCAGGAATGCACGCTGTGACTACGGAGTCGAGTCTGCTTACAGTTGTAGCAAACTGAGTGATAGAGCGAAGACTTGAGATGAAAATCTCTTTGGCGGCGGGGACCTATCAATATGTGTGCATGGACTCTTCTTCGACCGTTGACATTCTAGAATTCAACACACATTATGTATATTGTACAGTATTGCATTATTTCACCTGTAGGCATGTTCCTGAAAACACATGTCATTATTTCTCTTTTAGTGTCACTGCACATGGTCCAGATGCATAGCACGATATGAAAATAGGCCCAGCATATTGTTATGATGCTTACTGTGCTTTTCACATTATTTTCTATATATTTAGCACTTTCCGAGGTGAGAGGGATTTCCGGAGACAGCGTTATAAAGACACCCATACGTTGAGCTTTATGAATTCCTGCTGGCTATCAATAGGTTCATTATTGCATCAAGGGGGTGCAGAGTATCCACGATCCCTATCTGGTAAGACATCGGCATCAGCTTGCTGTTACCCCTTCCCAAACAGTATAACCTATAAACATAAATTAGACCTGCATAACCCTTTTTATTTTAACATTTTTATAGATACGATGCATGAACCTCGCTTGTTATTTGCATCACCATGTTGGTTACCCAGAACTTAGGACATTTTACGCTTTTTGTGTATTTTACCCTTGGGACGCAAACGAGGTTTCATCATATATAACTGCAACATTGTAACCATTATGTTTTAAAGTGACACATTAATATTCTTGAATTTTAACACTCTATTTTTGGTAATAATTAGAATTAACATATATAATGTTTTTCTTTTGAAGCTGCTTATCATGTCTAATCACATATCCTTTAGGTTAGGGACGGTGCCCACTTCTCAGGGACACTTATGTTCCAACATAACTACCCTCAAATATACAAGGTGGCCAAAAATGATTGAAACATTCGTCATTATTATCATTATATCATTGTCATGTTGGTAAGAACTATATACACGGTGTATATACTAAAATCAAAAGAATAATTGCTTATTAAATAGGCTATAATTGATACTTGTTTTTGGCCAGCCCTTAGCTTCATATATTTGTACTTTATTTTCCTGTTTTGTATTTTACGTTTTTAGATTTGTCTCCCATTTGTCATAGTAACATAAAATTAGCTTTCATATTTTTATGGTATAGCATGTATTTTGTATTCACACAACACTCTAACACTTTTTTGCATGAATAGAGAATACCTTGACATTAAAAATTATGCAAGGAGAAAGTTTCGAAGGACGGGAGCTCTAAATTTTGTGAATGCCTCCTGGTTTAGTATAGCGTCTCTACTACTGCAAGGAGGGGAGCATTACCCTCGTTCCCTCAGTGGTAAGTTATTTGTCGGATCATTATTGTGTGATCGTGAGGTGTGAATAAAAACATTGGGTATGCCAGATGGAAAGAAGGAAAGAAAGAATTGCCAAATGGATATACCCAGTGTCCTTCCGTGTGCTCATACTTGTATATAGTTTTTGAGATTACTTTATTTTTGAACATTTTAGTACTGTCTATTTATTTGTTTTATTAGATGATCATGACATTTGTTGGTAGTGTTAGCCATTTATTATTTTGCCTGTTTATTTTCTGTATTTGACACGTTTTAGTTTTTTACCCTTTTACATAAAGAAACATTTATTTCATAATTATATACATAATTGATTACTTTAAAGAATAGCACATAGCATAACTGTAGGAATATTCAATGGTATCCAATGTGATCATCTTTTCTATTTTCTAGCACGTATAACGACTGTAATGTGGTGGATGGGGATAGTGATAATAATCCAGACATACACGGCCAACTTGGCAGCGTTCCTTACAGCGGGCAGACTAAACAATGACATCAACTCCATTGAAGACTTGGGATCACAGACCAGAGTCATATATGGTTAGCGAGGGCTACATAAAAGTCAAGTCTATAATCTTATTCTCAGAAAATCGACATAAAAGAATCTTGAAATATATTCTATTTAAGAGAATAAAAACTAGGTTAAACGAAAGACCGGAATACATATACAGACAGACATACTAGATTAACGGAAGTTATTAATATACAGAATAGTACTGATATCTTTCTAGTTCCTAGTTTAATTTTTATAAGTTCCATTTTTATTTTTAAGGAACCGTCCGAGGAACATCTCCCCACCAGTTTTTCATTGATAGTAACATTACGCTTTACAAAGAAATGCATGGATTCATGGAGGCCAATGGAGGACTTGTTCAAAACACAGTCGATGCTGTTGAATGGGTGATTACATGTTTGCAGTCACAATCGAGTATAGTGTAGTTGCAAGTTTCTAGGGTTGGCCCCAAAAATGCAACTCACGACAAAAAGTAACAAGGCATTAACATGACAAAATGTCACCACCTAATTGCTCACAATTATTATGAGTTCAATCTTAAGTCAGATTTGAATTTCTGAGAACTTAGATGATTTTGAAAATAAAGATTGGTCAACTTGAAGCAAGTTGACAAAAGATCCTTTTGACCTTTAGAAGGTCATTGAAGGTCAAATAAAGACCTTTTTGACCCTGAGAAGGTCATTGAAGGTGACATCTCAAATGTAAAGTCAGATTTGAATTTTTAAGAACTTCTAGATGATTTTGAAAAAATTGGTCAATTTGAAGCAAGTTGAAAAAATACCCTTTTGACCTTTTTTGACCTTGAAACCGAATCTTAAACATAAAGTCAGATTTGAACTTCTGAAAACTTGTAGATGATTTTGAGTTTAAACAGTATTTGTTAAGTTATTGGAAGTTTTAAGAATTGTTACAGGCGCCAACCACTTACTACTGCCAACCATCAACCGCCGTCACAAAAAAACGGAGACCATAACAATATGTCACCACTTTTTGGTGTTGACATAAAAACTGTACGTTTGGCACAAAGTCAGATCTAACTTTAACTCAGTTCAAATCAATTCAAAGTATACTCCAGTTTTAACAATTGTGTTTTTATACCAGCAGTCAAAATGAGAAAAGATAAAATTATTTGTAAAACTGGTAACATACATCGAATATGTGTACAATGCCTTTGCTGTTTATCATTAGAAGACATTATAGTCTTACAATTATCGCTTAGCACCCTTTGAAATGATCTATTGCATCTTTATAGGTCCGCGAGGGAAACTATGCATTTATTTGGGACGATGTAGTGTTGGATTACATCGTACAAAACAGGCCATGTAACACTGTTAAAACAGTTGGCCGTCTATTTGGAAAAATAGGATACGGGTTTGCCCTACAGAAGAATTCTCCGTACAAACATGAGATATCAACACACATATTGCAGCTTCGAGAGATGGGCTACATGGATGAACTAAAAAAGAAATGGTATGCGATTTTTCTCCTGTATGCATCGTCAGTATTTCTACAATATCCGCTGTCGATGTATTTACAATTTTGTCTTATATTTACCGTCAGTATGATTGGTCACGTGCATTTACCGTAAAATAAGATGAGTGATTTCTATTATCATTATCAAAATAAGTTGTTTTATCATGTCCCACTTGTGTTAGATTTTTCAAAGTCATTATATGATTCTTTCCGATAATTACTCAATACATTCTTACTTTCTTTTATTGACACTGTTACTTTTATTGTATGTTAGATCATTGATGAGGATGTTTTTCCCAAATCTGATCATAAATGTGTCTTTAATATTTCAGAATTTGTATATTTCTTCTTAATAACCATTAATAAATATTCAGCTTTAATACCGGTTTACGCTTTATATATCATACATATATATTTATATATCATACATGTATCATATATGTATGTTTATATCTAAATGTATTCCATGAATAATAAAAAGTATATATGACTGTTAATAGGTATGAGGATAGAAGCGATTGTTTCGACACATCATCCGCTGAGAGCGAAGACAATGCTGAACTGGCTGCTGCTGGGGGCAGAATGGGTATTGAGCATATGCTGGGTAAGAAACTGTAAAGAACATGCTTTATGGGGAATGGGTATTGAGTACAACTGTATATATGTATGTCGATTAAGTAAATGAAAGGAATATGCTTCATTTGGAGAATGAATATTGAGTATGTCTGGTAAGAACCATTTTGAAATAGCTCAATACAAGTTTACCTTACTATGTGACCACATATTTGATATTGTTATGAAAAGCCCGTGTTTTATGTGGATCATCATAAATTAACTATAATAAGTCAACTATTTTATGACATGCAATGAACATCTGCTTTTCAGGAGTGTTCTTCATCATATATGGAGGTCTTGCCCTCAGTCTTGTTGTGTTATTTTTTGAGTGGATAATTGCCTCCATAGCAGTTATAGGAAAGTTGAACATGGAACACCAGGTAAAATTGCATTGAAATAAACATTGAATTGGCTCCAACGATACTCAGAAAAAAGAAACCGTTTGAATTGTGCATTTAGAACTTTTTAGCTGTTGTAAGTCATAGATGACAAAAGACAATAGTAAAAGTATTTTTAACAGAGTGCCAATCTAGGTTTCATCCATTTAATGATACGTTCTGTTTTCAGGGTCCCAAGACATTCAAAGAAGCACTTACACTTAGGTTCAGGTTGTTACGTCAAGACATGAAAGAGGATTGGCTACCCACAATTCCATATTGCTTCAGAAGAGGCGACAAACATAAACAGTCAGAACAAGAAGAACTAAATGAGATTAATAAAGAATATAAAGCGTATCAATTCAAATCCCAAATAAGCCTTAGGTCAAGTTTCAATAAAGCAATGCTATCAATGACCAAAGTAAATTCATCATCAACGGATCAACTTTTGAGAAATACATCAAGGGCGTCTTTGCAATCATGTAACCATTTAACCCCGTTATCTCCGAGACAGTTGTCTCCAAGAAATATCAAATGTGCCAAAAGACAAAATGGTTACCCTCAATGGGACGACTCACAATCAGACGACAATGAAAAACAGTCAAACATAGATCATAAAGACAGAAGCATAGATGGTAGCATGAATGATCTTACCAATGAAGCAGTAAAATACATTCCTTGTGAGAATGAAGATTCAACAAGTGCTGATTATTCAGCTAAAGACATAAAAGATGAGTATCCAGATTTTGAACCTCCATTATTCCGTACAGAAAGTTCTGGGACTCTCACATCAAGCGATACAAAAAGCTACAGAAGCAGCAATGTTATTGGATCTAGCATAGATATTGAAATTGATTCAAAGAACAATTCCAGACTCAGCTCTGCCAGCACTCTAAGGAGAAAGTTATCATTTCCACGAATGATGAACAAAGTTCAAGCACTTCCAGAACATGAGCATTTTCACCACGACTTTGATTAGTTTTATGAATTACCGAGCTCAAAAGCAATGCCGTTTTTCAGTTAACTCTGCTATTCAATCACAGACATACACCAATGGGATACCACTATGTAACCTTTACTTACGTAATATTGCTTGGGACCTCCCGAGGCTCGATGGAAACCGGTGAGACACGCAGGGACTTTGCCCCATTTGTGTATGTTGGGCGGTTTATGTTTTAATGTCAGTCTAATTATCATTACCCATGACCTCAGTGCAATTCTCAGGAAAAATAGTGTACGTTTAAAAACATTCAAATAAACATCAGAATAAGTTGTATCAGAATATCTAAACCGACTCTTTTGTACTAATAAATGGTCCGAAAATAAACAAGATATTTGTTTGATACATACTAAAACATTTTGAAATAGAAACCAATACTTATATATTAAATAAAACTAGCCTCAACCTAAATTATAATAAGACCTTATATCTAGTGATCTTAAAGTTAGAATCAGAAATACAAGGAGCGACTTTGAAGTCAACATACCCTCTGTAAAGAAAAAATGCTGCATAGTCCTCTATCAGTCATATTTTCTATTTTTCTGTATTATCATACTAAACATTCAGATGTACAATGTATATATATTTGGGCCAAATGTAGAAAATTTCGTCAAAGAATTTCGTAAATATGGTAAAAAGTTACAACTGATTGAATAGAACAACTCACAAAATTGTGAGTGTGAATTTTTACCATAAATTGACGTCATAAATATGAGAAATTCAATATCCAGCAATGTGTTCAGTAAGGAGATCTTGTGAGATATTTTCAATTTTCAGTTAAGTTTAGAGCAATAAATAAAACTTTGTAAAAGTCGGTCGATATAACGACAGCAGTCTGATAACTAACCATTTTGTGAAAGAATTTGAGGTAATATTCTCCTCCTCGGTTCAAATTTGGGGTAGGGGTAACATTTATAACAATAAACTTGAAATTATAAGATAATTATAACCCCTTATAGCCTTTCACAATCACCCATGTCATAAATCTTTAACTTAGCATATGCATTCCAAAATTTCTAACTTTTTTAAATTTTGATTTAATTTTTTTTTAATTTTCACCAGTTCTTCACAATATGTATAAAATACCTCTAAGAGTTTAGTATGATTATACAAAATATTGAAAATGTTATGATTTGTAAAGGACCGTGGACCTTTTATCTTTATAGAGGGTAAATGATTTTGAATCAATATGTCGTTTATTTTGTTTGGCAGCGTTTTCGATTTTCTGAAAATATGAATGACAAGGATGTATATGATGTGCCATATATAGGGTGAAATGTCTTACATATACACAATACATTTGTTATGAATTTGTTATTTATACCTGCTAAAAACTCAATCTACATTAAGTAAATTAATAATACAAAAATGATATCAAAATCCTTACCACAATTATCCTGATTATATGTTTACCTTTAGTAATCAAATGTTATCATCATTGCCATAATGTTACTGTATAATTGATACTCGATGAAGCCACTTGCCTTTGCCACGGATGACCCATACATCTACATTTCATATGTGCACTTCCATCATGCAAAGCTTTAATAACCATATCTCCCCTGTTGGACTATGTAGTAAAGCTGTTTCATGTGTTAAAGCCTTTTAATGTTTAAAGCATTCAGATTTATCATCAATTTAACAACTATTTTAATAAGGAAGAACGACAGGCTTGCACGTGATGTGTAATGGGCAACCAGGGTTGTACATTTTTGAAGGGGATATATGTACTTACTTATATACAAGTATATCATATTATTAAAGATACTTCACTCATGCATGCCGTTAAACTGCAAAATACATTTTGATGTTGGGGCGGAATGGCTTTATGTGTAAAATGTACTGTCCACGCATGTTGCATGTCATTGGAGTTTTGTGCCATGGCTTTGAACAGAAGTTGCTAAATGATCATCTAGCTGTAATGATTACTATTAGTAAGATATTGCCAACTACTGATTGTGATAGTTGTCCTTTCGATGTAGCCTGAAATCGTATAAATTATTCTAGAAATTTATTGTGATCAGGTTTCCTCTAGAAATCAATCAAGAGCAGGAGGCATCAGCCCACAACTATCCTCCCTTCAGAGGGAATAAAGAATGTTTTTACCGGAGAGTCTTGCTAATTGATATCCATATATATTTAGTTAAAATTTTTTGAATACCTAAGGCCATTTAGCGAGGGAAATTCTCGAACTTATATGTACCTCAAGCCGCTAAAAAATATTCTCTGTATAATTTCAAAATTAAGTGTCCATATATAAAGTTACATACTATACAATGTTTTCTATTGCAACAGCCAAGCCTCTATATCTCATAACTTAGTCTTGTCATTAACAGTCATAACTAAAACATGGACAACTATGAAGACAGATATAAGTGCTGCACATAAGGCATATGTATTTTATGTTTTTATCTTTTTTGCAAACAAAAGGAGAATATGTGATATAAAAACTCACGAAAAAAGAAAATGTCGTGCAATTGGAGCTCATGACTTTAAGAATGCCTTATGGTTTAGCATAACATCTTTGCTACTCCAAGGTGGTGAAAACCAACCCCGTTGCCTTGCTGGTAAGATAACTTTTTAATTTGGCAGTATACTTTATGTATGTTTCAGTTACAGAAATGTTAGCATTTGAGAATGTTTTTAAATATTCGTTTAACGATCCATTACATACCATTCTCTAATCATGGTTAATGTGTTAAAAAAGTTTATAACGTTTATCATAGCACGTGTTACGACCGTAATGTGGTGGATGGGAATAGTCATTATAGTCCAAACATACACGGCCAACCTGGCAGCGTTCCAAACAGCAAGCCGACTTATCACTGGCATCAACGATATCGAAGACCTTGGTACACAAACTAAAATCAAATACGGTAGGCTCTCATATGACTTTTTCATTTGATGAATTTCAAATAAAAATGTTCATGAACTGGTTTTTGGGTACAGGGCTCAATGAATCGCGTGGACAATGATCTTTAGCTCGATGGTCTTTGTATGAAACTTTTAATGAGGTTGGGACCGAGTTCAAAGGTTAGCATACATGACACCATTTGTTAAGTCATGGGAAGGGAAAGGGAATATCGGATGGGATAGAAAATCTTTTGTTATTCAATTTATCCCGAAATGTCTTCAATAGAGTCCTGGGATGGAATTAATAATCGGATCTAACGATTTGGTTCAATACATTTCAAAACTTTTATTTCCTGGACAATTCAATAGTATTTATGCATGCCAAAGATTTACACATAAGCACTCATTTTCTTTCTCCTTCAGGAACCAACGAATTCGCAGCCCCATATGAATTCTTCATGGTCAGTAAGATAACACTCTACCAGGACATGATGTACTTCATGGAACACAATGGAGGATTTGTAAACAACACGATGGATGGCGTGAAAAGAGTAGGTATATCAATGCCGCTTTAAATAAAACCCTATTAACCGGGGTCTGAGTTGAGGGCCCAACTTGACTTGTAATACCCTCGCGGCGATCTGCGCTTGAAGATGCTCCTTGACAACTATATTCTAATTCTATAAATGTACATCTTTTATGATGAATATAAAATCAAAAAGCTAACCTTGGGTCTGTAGTGATAGCCAAAGGCCGTTTTTGGAACAGTTGAAAGTTCTTTCACGGCGACTGGCAAACATAAATTTTCCGTACATCGTCGTAAATTCCGAACGTCTTCCGAACGATTTCGTCGTAATTCTTGTATATCATTGGTTAATAAAAGCACGCAGTGTTATGCTGATATGCCATCTTTCGATATAATTTGATTAATGTCAAACCACAGGGTATCTGGGAAACGACTAAATTCAGACAAAATGTGTTGAAGGGCGTATATTCAACAAAACATTTGTTTATTATCTGGATTCATCAATGGAAGGAGGCGGCATAGCTTGAACGTCATGATAGTATGTGATGCTAAATTTATATTTAAGGATTTGCATTGTTTGCTGAAACATACCATGACGGTGTTGTTTCCAAACCACTGTATGACCGCGCAGTGGAAATGCAATGTTCAGGAAACAACGCCTGAGTAAAATGAAGAAACTACAATGCATTGAGTCTTGGGCTACAATTCTTTTCACACATTGCAATTTTTTCTACAAAATCATCCAAAAGGAACGAAATCACTTAAAGAACACATTTTTAATGAAATTATTTGCAAGGGTCAAGTTGGCAAGTCATCAAATCCAATGTGAAAAGTCCATTTATGACAATTATTTAGCTAGTGACCTTGCATATGTTATCGACAATTCACACACTGTTCTCTATGTGAAATACTGTGTTTGGATTGGCTGGAATCGGAAACACCTTGCCTAGCTATGTGTGAATCAGAAATAATGTTTCAAGGTGGCCTGGTAAGAATGAGTTGGGTAAATTTCCTGAAATATTAAATGTGGTAACCTCATTAATAGAATAATGAACACATAATCGTAAAAATATATTCACACATAGCTAAGCAAGGTGTGCCCAATTCCAAATCTGAACAGGATATCCACATAATGAACAATGTGTGAAATATCAATTGCGCATTTGTTGTGTACAGTTGCTAAGCGATTGAGATTGAAATTGAGTTTTCCAACTTGACCATTGCAAAAAATTTCATTGAAAATATGTTCTTTTAGTGATTTTGTATCTTTTAGTTGAAACTATTTTGCAATGTGTGAAAAGGATTTTACGCCTTGGACTCCAGTGCATTGTTTGGGGTCATGCAAAAATTTGGAAACATCTTTGTGGAATGGTTCAGCACACAATGCACTGAGTCCAAGGCTTAAGTCCTTATATATTCACAAATTACATTACTTGCGTAATCAGTGCCAACATTTTTCGATAGTTGTTTTGCGTGATAAGAATTGACAAACGGACAAACAATACATCAATAGCGCAGATTAATAGAGGTGACAAATGTTTAATCAATTAATGAAATAAAATATAGGTTGACACATCAAAAAGGACATAAATGAGTATGTTACGACTGGTGACGATCGTTCTAAAAACGGCACCCCGTTACCCTATCTTGCAATATAGCCTATATGTAATCGTTCCATGACCACCACACAGACAGATCACTCTTATTTTTGGTTGAAATGTTTGTCTGACGCACAGTAGCTCTATAAAAGTCGCATTCACTGTGTCGATTTCAGGTTCGTCAAGGTAACTATGCATTTATTTGGGATGACGTCGTCTTGGATTTCATAGCACAAAGTGAGCCATGCAACACAGTCAAAACAGTTGGCAGAAGGTTTGGCAAAATTGGCTTTGGTTTAGGTTTACAGAAGCGCTCTCCGTATAAGCATGAACTATCGTCTCATATTATGCAACTACGAGAGATAGGTTACATTGATGAAATAAAGAAAAAATGGTGAGTAAACTATAAGGTTGGACCTCAAAATGCTCCAATTCGTCCAGGTTCATATTCTCAGCCCTCCCACTAGTTTGTTCTTTGAAAAACATGTTTCAAAACATCCAGAATTCTATGTTTCAAAGAATTTATATAAATGTTGTTTGATTTGTTATTCGTTTAGGTGGGTGGACCGCAGTGAATGCAAAGCCGCTAAAGCATCAGTTGACACATCTGAAGAAGTAGCAGCTGCTGGTGGACAATTGGGGATATCTCATATGTTAGGTAGACTACATATCTTGAATGCAATGAATTAAATAAATGTATATTTAATTAACATATTGAGAACAAGAGTGTGAAAAATTTAGTGTGTTTATATAGTTTTCGATTATTGACAGGAGTTTTCTACATAATTTATGGAGGTCTTGTCACAAGTGTTGTTGTCATGGTGTTGGAATGGATCGTTGCTTCGGCGACAAGTACATCAAATATTGATTCTACAATAATGCAAAACGTGAGAATTTAATATTTTATTAATGCATGAGTCTTCCATCTTATTGTCTTCAAAATGTCCATACGAAATTTAAAACTTTGATTTAGTATTTTTAAGCTGCTTTTTGGGTTAATATCTCCTATGTGTCTCTATTTTCAGCAAAATCCCAATTCTTTCAAGGATGCACTCAAATTAAGGCTTAGATTGTTATATCAAGATATAAGAGATGATTGGTTACCTACTATTCCATATTGCTGGAGACGACGTGACAAACAAAAACAGTCGGGACGAGAAGAGCTTGTTGAAATAAATAAAGAATATCAAGAGTTTCAATACAGATCCCGAATTAGCATGGCATCTGTTTTAAGCGATACAACCATGCATATTGCTTCTTCATCTTACGATCACTATGCACGAAAGATATCCTGTCAATCTCCAGGATCAACACATTTAGGTTTACCTAACATGCCAACAGTGTCAACTATAAATGGAACTAATTGAGCTTTTGAAGCCAGATAAAAAATATGGCGGAAGATAACTACTGGTGATTCAAAAGTCTTAGACGCCCCCTGTTCTGGAGTTTCTTAATATCACGCCCGGTGATCGTACAAAATGGATGGAGGGGGGGGGGGGCAATTTCTGCAAGAAAACTCAACAAATTTCGAGGTTTCATTTTTTCAAGAGAAAATTTACAACTGAATTGTCAAATGAATAGCCACAGTGCATGCCAAAATATGTTAGGTCTTCTGGTATTTTTTTTTAACTGATACGCTTCTAAGATGTGAGATCTATTAAAAAAGGCGCATCATCACTAACGTGGAAAAGTCAATGTTTAAAAAATGATTCAAAAATGAAAATTTTTGATTTGAAATAAATGGAAATCTTTGAAAAATTGCAATTTTTTGAAAAAATGAAAATTTATGAAAAAAATTAATTCTTCGAAAATTGGAAAAAAATTGGAAAAATCCAATTTTTGTAAAAATTTTTTTTTGAAAAAATGAACTTTTTTTGAAAAAAATAGTGACAATATGAATTTTCGAGTATATATGATTTTTTTCCAGGGACAATATGATTTTTCGAGTATATATGATTTTTTTTCCAGGGACAATATGATTTTTCGAGTATATACGATTTTGAAAGGGACAATATGATTTTATTTCCCAGGGAAAACAGTAGTATTATGGAATAAATACACGTATCAATACAAGACATTAAAAATAAAATTGTTTATTTTTAATTTTTAGGAACATTTTATTGAATTTCAGTAAACGTTATTCCAAAGTATATTCTTTGAAAATTATCTAGCATCCGCCTCATAAACTTTCAGGAAATGTTATCATAATCCAAAAACCACTACGAGACCTTGAGACATTTTTCCATGTTTAGGTCATTTCAATATGACGAAGAATTTTTTTATTTTTATTAATAGTTACAAAGGTAAGTATTGGTGAATACAAAATAGAGCATCAAGAGTCATGTGATATTGGATAGACAAAATTTAGTCTAAAGGCTACAGTGTAAAAACGTCATCTATTCGCAAAACAGCAATTTTAGTCCATAAAAAACAATAAATCACAAAGTCATCATTAGGAAAATGGCTAGTTTCGATCACCAATCCTCAACCATTAATGCTCATTTACTCATTGCACTCCAGTAGATCATAGACAATTTATCTATTATAAACTTACCCAGCTATGTAATGAATCGTTCACCAGAAATGTAATATATTATCGAACATAATAAGTTCAGGTTTATTACGCACTCTTAAAGGAATACTCACAAGTTAATTTGTCAAGCAACGTGTCAAATCATCATATAAATTTCTAGTTCAATTAATGGAATCATAGCAATAGTGATACTATGTAACTCTACTACATGCAGCTTGATCTTACGTAATTGAAGAAAATAATCTCATGAAACTCAAATCTGTTTAAGATATTTATAATTTAAATTGGGAATTGGAGGATTTATTTTCACAGTAAATATAAACAATGCGAATAATGATTATTAGGATTAACAAACGATTTGCGCACCAATTTCATCACTTATATAGCACTGATGCAAATTCAACGACTAAGACAAAGGGGATTGCGGACGCTAATGGGCGGTTATAACAAGGCGGATTAAATGTGATCCAAAAGGGCTTGTGTAAATCCATTATTGTCTCACTCGTACAAATGTTACGCCATTATTGTCATAAATTATACAACTTGGATAGACATTTGTCATGGATTACCGTACACTCATTTTCACACTATTGATGAGCATATTCATATCTGGAATTTCTTCAAAAATAGTCCGAATAGGTAAGTGTAAGTGCATTTTTGTAATATTTTTTCTTGGTGGATGAATGGTGAAAGCGGCAGTATTATAATAGAACAGGGTGACCAAATAAAACCATTATTATGGATATTTGCTCAAGTATACCTCAGATTCATTTCAAGAATGTAACTAGTTAACTCGGAGTCGAGTCAACCTAGTTAACCCGGACCAAAGTCAAATATGACCAAGTCACATTTAGAATTAGCGATATATAGAGGCCTTTGGAAAGAATAATAATTGAGGTCATATATTTGCCATAAATCATAGAATCGAGCTTTTTGTTACCGTCACGATTCTTATATGATAAAACGATGCAATACCAACAGACATTAACTTGGAACCACGTCTGTAATGGAGGTTACTGGTACTTCGACAATTTAATGCCTTCTAATCCTAAAATAACGAAATGTCCTGAAAATCGTTTTATTGAAATTATATTTTAAGAGACTTTGACGATGACTGTTTGATATATCGAAAGATATTTCGTTAGCGGCATCATATTGTATCCATGTTATCCTCCTGCTGATTTATGAAGAATTGAAGATCCAAGGAAATAAAATTATTTTAAATTTATTTTGAACGTAATGATTGAGCTGAGTTACTTTAATCAGAACATATTTAAAAAATTGTGTGTGCAGTATGTCAAATCGAAAATTAACACATTTCCTCAGAATTATTTGTGAATTAATTATAATTTGAAACGCGCATAATTCAACGTTTGAAACTCGTTACCCGCAGAATATTTTGAACGACCCATATGCCAAAAGCAATAACTGAGCAAATATGTAAGATACGATCATGTAACTTCACATGCCCAAACATCTACTCTTGCTCTCACTATAGTATAAATTATTATCGTATGATCTGTAAAATGAAGCCCTCTGATTGGTTAGTTCTTGTGCTGTAAAAATCTGTATTGCTACTGAGATTGTCCCCATTGATCATCTCCGTAGCGACACAGAAAATATTGGTACGAAGGGGACAATCTCAGTAGCAATACAGAGATCACACGATAAAAATGTTATAGAATGATTTGAAGTGCAATACAAGATATATTTGAAAAAGGAATAAACTAGTTTGTAAGATAGTTATATTTAAATATTTGTTGAACAATGCATTTTACTGTATAACTGTATAATTATGTCTTGTAATTGATTTTGTGAGGAAGTCAATTGTTTTGGCTTGAAACACAATAAAATCTTGAATTTTATATTCTGCTCTCAATATTATGTATTGGTACTCGACTTCGTCTCGTTCAGACACAGAATTTCTCGAGCAGATCTAGAATGTATCCTGTATTGCACTTAAAATCATTCAATAACTTATAATATTGTTGCATAATATAATTAATACGGTTTCCCGTTGATCGCTGTCAAATAACCTGGTATCATCTGCTACTTCTGTAGGTTTAACAGGATACGCATTTACTTGATAGTTTCACAAGTGCAGGATTATGGGTTAAAACTACTTCTTGATACACCCAAATTCAGAAGAATGCTAATCTTCAATCATAAGAATTATGGCCTACTGTTGGTTTCTTTATATATATTTCTAGTTGAAGACAGAGAGATGTGATGATTATCATTAACTATAATGTTCGATCAGAGGATTTTTTGTTTGTTCATCAATTATTTATATTTTTAGCGCGCTTACAAGGGTTACATATTTTGATATAAGTTTGAATTGATTCAATATGTTGAGACATGTGAAGTTAAATTGTACCATTCTTGGTCGATTTGAATCCCGGATTTGAATGTTAAAATATGTTGGTATATTGTAACAGGAATATGTTTATCGCCATCAATTATCGTAAATTGACCTCTTATTGTTTAGGATTATAAGTTATTGAATGATTTGAAGTGCAATACGGGATATATTCTGCTTGAGAAATTCTGTATTAGAACCAGACGAAGTCGAGTACCAATACATACAGAATATCGAGAGCAGAATATATACTTAATTGCACTTCATATCATTCTATACGTTTTTATCGTGTGATCTTAAGCCAATACATTTTACTTAGGAGATAATTCCTAGGAAATTTCCGTATTCTCTGTATTGCTACTGAGATTGTCCCTCCGTACCAATATTTTCTGTTTTTCAACGGAGATGATCAATGGGGACAATCTAAGTAGCAGTACAGATTGGCACAGCACAAGTCACAAGAACTGACCAATCAGAGGGCTTCATTTTTACAGATCAATGATTTATTGTTTTGACAATTTGATATCCCTGTGTGGAATAGAGAACCGGTCTCGAACTTTTTCACCATTTCATTTTTTGAAAGTGAGAAAGATTATTTACAATGGATTATTTTGTCAAATATTTGTCAGAACTGTGAAAATGAGTATTTTGCACCCACATACCTCATATTCTCCCATAGCTGTATGATAACATGTACTTATATAACATTTATAAATGATAATAATACCATTGTCATTGGTTAGACAGACGAGTCAAAATTATCGTATTAAAGTTACCAAATGTTTAAAATAACCGGTACCATTTATTACCGTATAAATATTGTGTTATGGCTCTCATCTTCCTTTTTATATCTTGTTTCAATGTTCCAAGGGTTGTTTGTGTAGAAATGGGCATACAGATAAAAATCTGATGGGATTTATGTCCAGTCAGTGAGGCGCATTTCGGCCTTTTTAGCATGTTTTGTAAATTGCCATAAAATCGTTATTAGGGATAGATCAATGACACTTAGTAGAATGAAAGAACATAAACAAGGTATAATTGTTCCAATAATGATTTGAAACACATGCTGAATGATTGAGTTATGAACATATATTTGGTTGGGTTACCTTTTTTGGCTCACCCTGTACATACTAGTAGTTTGGGATTTAATTTCAGTCGCCCTCGCATTAAAGTAAAGTTTAACATTTTAATATTGCTTTTTTGATTCAGATTATTTGGACAATCCTGACAAGTCATAAAAATCTTCCACAAGATTTTTCTTTATCATGGTTATTATCAAATATAACTGCATTTCTTAATTAGTAACACACGCCACATCATGAGAAACGATGAGTATCAGAATGTACACGCCGTGTTGTCTTACATTCTAGGTTGCTTAGTTTCCAGTAATTATGTCCAGACAGAGGAAGTGTATGCTTTGCAGAACGCCGTAGAGTATGTTAATTCTAGACAACTATTGGGACCTGGTAATACCTTGGAATACTTATGCAATTCTACAAAGGCACAAACATTCTTCGAGATGTTACAGTTGGGTAGGTACTAGTCACGGGGTGTAACTCTCATTGGAGGAGACTAATTATTCTTTTTACTCTATTACATGGTTCCTAAATGAAAAGACGAGTAATTTTAATGTTATGTTGTGTTATGTTATGTCATGTCATGACATGGTATGTTGTGTTTGTTATGTCATTTCATGTCATGTCATGGTATGTTGTGTTGTTATGTTATGTCATGCCATGTCATGGTATGTTGTGTTTGTTATGTCATGTCATGTCATGTCATGTCATGTCATGGTATGTTGTGTTTGTTATGTCATGTCATGTCATGTCATGGTATGTTGTGTTTGTTATGTCATTTCATGTCATGACATGGTATGTTGTGTTGTTATGTTATGTCATGCCATATCATGGTATGTTGTGTTTGTTATGTCATGTCATGTCATGGTATGTTGTGTTTGTTATGTTATGTCATGTCATGGTATGTTGTGTTTGTTATGTTATGTCATGCCATGTCATGGTGTGTTGTGTATGTTATGTCATGTCATGTCATGGTATGTTGTGTTTGTTATGTCATGTCATGGTATGTTGTGTTTGTTATGTTATGTCATGTCATGTCATGTTATGTTATGTTATGTAATTATGTTGTGTTGTATTGTGTTTTGTTGCGTTATGTTATGTTGTGTTACTCAGAATTCTTGTTTTGATACCTCAAATACATTTTATTTGCAGTTTTGTGCTGTTTTACTATTTCAAATTTTGTGATCTAGACATCTCTGGTTTATGCCTCGGAAAACATTATGAAAGGCTAACTGTAATAAATAGTTTGTTACGCTGCTAACAAAGCTACATTTCCCCAAGAGAAAAAGAAAAAAGTACTAATGTGAAACGATCATTAAGCGTTAAAGGCAATTATCAGTCAGTTCAATCATCAATTTCACTAACCAGATTGTTTCTGATTTCACCAACCTCATGACGATTAAACGTGATTTCCATACTCATTTGTTACATTAATTGCTACTTACGTATACTCTGTGAAATTGCTTTTTAATATATAGAAATACCAAGGGAGATATCCGATTTCACTAACTAAAAGAAATCAGCAATGCCTAAAGAGCAATTTAGCAAGTACAACACGAATATCATGATTATGAATTGTACTTGTTAATAATTGCTTTTAAGATCTGAAATGTTCTAAGCGATTTATAATACAAGAATCGACCTGCGTCCGGTAAACATGCCAAATGTCATTTCGAGATATAGCTTGACATAAGAGTTTAATTGTATTGTATTAATTGGTTTCTCAGTGCATTGCCTTAAGTGTAAATTAAAAATGGCACAACATTTCATAGCATCCTGTAGTTATGATGTACGATGACTTTGCCCAATCCCTAGTGCTGTTGTGCATTGGAAACGAAACATTGGAAACGTGACTTAAGTGTAAATTAAAAATGCCACAACATTTCATAGCATCCTGTAGTTATGATGTACGATGACCTTGCCCAATCCCTAGTGCTGCTGTGCATTGGAAACCTGGCTGCTATAATGGCACATTCAAATTACCAAGACTATGGGATTGTTATTTACCTTATTTGATTCGTCCTTTGGGTATTTCCCGGTATCAATTTAAGTAACGCAAAACAATTTGACGTGGGATAGATCTAAGGTATCTGAATCAAATATTTATTCCCATTTTCTATTAGTGCTTTTACTCAGTGTTGTATGACGTATGTTCTCTTAAAGTGAAATTACATATTGCATAATGTATTAATGTATTTTCAGAATTATATTCAACCTTACGAGTGTTGTATGCAACTTGTACTGAGCATCTTCACACTTGTACTAGTAGATGTCACTCATCACTTGTCTTATTGCGTATTTGCAGAAGTTTATTGCATTTTATTCTTTTCATCTTGTATAATTGTGCGAAATTAAGACTAAAAAATATTAATAATTCCCGTTTACAAATATGTTTGTTCTAGGCTGCTACCAAAGTGAGGTTGGGGTGATGGCCTTTGTTGTTTTGGCAGGGTCAGGCGCTCAAAAGATCTTTGCACCACTATCAGAAGCATTAAAGATACCTCAGATAACGCCAACTGCAACAAACCCTATGTTAGGTGAGTGTTATTTACATAGAGATACCTGAATAAAATGCAATTAAAAATGCATAAGAGACATGATGCCACAACTATCGCAGCAAATAGAACATAATTTGTGGTTTTGTCAGAAAGATAGACGAAAGCTTATACCCACAGACATTAACATCTCATTCTGTTATTAGCGATATATGCAGCATCTCAAAATATCAAAGATGTTTTTAACTGTTGTATCATATATATGGAATAGATGACATTCATCATTTATCAGGGACACACTCATGAGAGACATGTACAAAAAAAACAGTGCATACGACTGTATTTTTTACTCTATTATATGACACTAATTTATACATTTCTAGGTTTAAAAGCGTTCAATTTACTATCTTTAGTTATTTTACCTCAGTTACATCGCGAGTTGGGGTGCTGCTAATTGATTGATAAATATTATATTAGGTATACCAACAGTCTCTTAATACAGTTTTACACCATCGAAGCCCTTCTCCTCAAGTGGCCGATGCATACTTGAGACGTACTTCCAGACATGTATGTTTTCATAATAGGTGTCTGTAGCCTTTTTCATTGGCACAAAACAATGCCTAGGTGTTTGATGCAATACACTAGAACCTCGAAGAAGAATATTCAGATAATTTCACTAAAAAACAAGTCTCGGTTTGGAGAACGAAGTTCATCTGTCTTCTGGGCTAATATTTTTTATGAAAAATCAAGAAACATCTCCCAAATTAAATTATTAATATTCAAAAGAGGACATTTAAATCTACAATATATATAAAATATCAAAATTGCCCGAAGCAGGCGTAACGTGCAGTAGACCACCCCATGATTAGTGATCGTACCAATTTCGAATGGCGCTGGTAAGACGAGACACGACGCTTAAAAACCAAAGAATATAAGTACAATAATTTTTGAATAGGCCATCAAAGCGCCGTTGGTGTGAACTTAGCTTAAAAGACATGTTTCGGTTTTATATGTAAAAATATCAAAATTGTCCAAAGCAGGCAGTATATAGTATAGATTGATTAACTTCGTTCTCCAAACTGAGACTCATCATTATAAACCATGACCCATCTCATTTTCTTCTCAGCCCTGAGATGTTTCAAGTGAAACAGAAAGATACTATGAGTATCAGAATGACCGAGACTAGTCTTTCAGATATTTTAGAGGTTTCTTAATTTAGAGGTTTCTTAATATCTTGTTGCACATATTATTGAAATCATCCGGAATAAAACTAACAGACTAAAGAAATATGGGTTTGCACCTGACATAGGCTTAAACAAGTTAAATGTGATTGTTGATATTTTTTGATGAAGCTTCCAAGAGGACATTTCCATACATATTGCGGTTATCAGCGCCAGATTCCGTTCAGGGTGAAGCACTGGTAAACTTGGTGGAGCATTTCGGCTGGGACCAACTTGCCATCCTCACATCAAACACTGACTATGGTGAGTTATCACTGCGATGGATTTCGTTGTTCGAAAAATGTGGAAACAAAAAAAACGAAAAGGGAAATCCGATTATCTATATTGGTTAATAAAAACACAGAATCAAATCCTGTGCTAAGAGCTGATGTGAAAAAAATCAGTCCACCCGAGTGGGGATCGAACCACACGAACCCTCGCTCGAAAAATGTGGAAACAAAAAAAACGAAAAAGTAGATCCGATTATCTATATGGCAGTATATACATATATAATATATATATGATAAATACATATATGTATTTTATATAATATATTTTGTTATTTAGGCATCAATGGCCTGCTACAGTTCCATTCTGAGGCCGCCAAGAGAGGTTGGAAGGTCGTCAGTGTACAACAGTTCGTGGTCACCAATGATGCCACACTTAATGCAACACGTGAACTCACTGTCATCAAAGAAACAGGTAGCTGGGTTCTACATGTAAACATAGCTGTGTATCAACCATTTTGAAAACATACACAGTATCATTAAAAGATGAATTTAGATAAACATAACACGGTACCCTATTATATATGATTGAGCCTTGGTGTATTATAGGGGACATTTCCAACCTTAAGTCCTTTTAGGAATAACAAGTTGTTGCATTATCTACATTAAAGGTGTGCGAATCATCCTCCTGAACTGCGAGTTGCCCCACGCCAAAGTTGTTCTCCAACAGGCCAAGGAGGCAAACATGACGGGAGCTGGGTGGGCATGGATTGCCACAGACGGGATCACTGGATCTGTAAGCAAACAAAAACATTATTTTTATCAAATGTTATCCAAACTCTTACATGGTACACGTACGCATGCATTACTTATTTATTCACTTTACTTTAAGTCTGAATTGGCTACAGCACCTGTGCCAGATCATTATAGAGGGATACTTGGGACAACGCCTACCGTAGGGCGTGGCGCCCTCTACCAGGACTTCCTATCGTTTTGCCGGAATCTTGACCCTGTAAATTATCCAGGGGCAGGACCTGGGACTAGGTTAAGTGTAAGTATAATCCGATATTTCAGTTTGGGCTATCGTTGTCCTTAGAATATGCAATTAAAAATGTTAAGATGTTCATCCAAATTGCAGGCATATGGTGGCTTAACAGTAGATACGATATTAGCATTTAGCTACGCCGTCCGAAACATGTACAACGATCCCGGCAACGAAGGGGTGACGCAAACCGCCATTGAGTGTGGGGCCAACCATGTTTGGGAAAATGGCAGCACTATGCTTCATTATATGTCAACCGTCGATGGTGATGGTGTTAATAACAGAATTAACTTTAACCAGATGGACGGGCCAGAGGTGTCCGAGTTTGATATTGTTAACCTGAATGGCGATGGTTGGCTACCGGTAGGATGTTTATAATAGATCAAAATATATTAAGGGCATTGCAGGGAATATTTTTGTAATTAATAATGCGAATGGTCCAAGGGAAAATGTGTATTTAACAACATTTCAATAATAATCATCATTTTAAAAAATAATTACAGTAGTGATGCCCTCCATCTTACACACTAATTACGTTTTTACAGGTTGGCCATTGGGATAACATACGCAAACTGAAATTTACTAACAGGTCTAAAATCCATTTCCATGGAAACCAGCAAATTGTTACTGATTATGTGAGTAACCTGGCAACTAAACACCTGATTGTTGTTACAAAAGTGGAAGAACCATTTGTAATGTTCACAAAACCAGAGCCAGAGGACCTTAATGATATAAAGGACCATGAGATTGAAGGTATCAGACGTTTATTTACACGTTATTTGTGGTTAATAAACCCCGAACACTTTGAAAAATATACATGTATGAATGGCCTATTGGGATAAAGATATGTTATTAAGATGCTCCAGCGGATTCTTGTATTGTAGGATTTTGTATAGATATCTTGAAGAACCTCTCATCAAGAATAGGCTTCACTTATACCCTTAAAAGATCGGATGACAATGAATGGGGGATCAAAAACAACATAACTAGAAAATGGAACGGTATGGCAAGGGAACTTGTGGATAGGGTATGTATAATACACATACATTAGCTTTATCAAATTCTCACTAATTTTTGTCGATTTTATGGATCACAGATACTAATGAATGATGCATTGAAATTCCTTGTTTGAATATAAATGAATATAACATGTATGACAATTGCAATAATTTTTAATGGCCCTATGCAAATTTCCTGTTTTTTAAAAAAGGTCCTTCAAAAACACTTTTTGAAATTAAAAAAAGCTAGCATATTAAATTTTAATAACATTGAGTAATCCTACAATATACGCCAGAGTGGTTTTAATCATGCATGAAGCCTTTTAATATTTTAATAAACATTTTGAATATGGTTAAACTCTATATTACACACTACAATATATTATATATTTACAATATATAATTATATATTACATATTACAATTACTTCTTCAATGCTAATTTGTCGATTAATCCATTGATTTCTTTTTTTCTAATTCAGAACGTGGATATGATTGCCTCCTCTTACACCATCAATAAAATGAGAGAGCTAGACTTTGATTTCACTACGCCCTATGTAGACCTTGGGATGAAATTGCTGATGAAGGTACAGTATATAGTTTCTGATTCTCGTATGTACTCGTATACTATAGGTCTATTGTTATATCTTTTCGAGAATGCTATTAAACATACATAGAATATCGCTATACAGTCACGATAAATCATTTACTTGTACCATTACTGGTCTCTACATGTGTATTCCCTTCAGTCTATACGCAATAGAAGTTACTGCATCCACATGGATAAAATCGCGTGGCCATTGACTCGTCATCCGATACATGTTACAAAATGAATGAGGCAATCGCTTCAATCTGAGGCACTTCTTCAGGTCATGAATAAAATTATATTGTTGTTTTTTATACTGGTTTAAGGCAGACATTTCGGAGGCACCTGAACCATTTAGGTTTTTGAACCCATTTAGCAAAGACGTATACTACTACATTATCCTGACCACAGTACTTGTCAGCATATATACGTCAATCCTCAACAAACTTAGCCCGTATGATTACCATGGTGGATTTGTTTATAATAAGAAACCCAATCCAAGGTATGTTCTAAAACTGAATTGTAATTCGTTATAGATACATGTGCGCATACAAAATTAGTATAAACATTCGTCCCTATGTTTAAAACTGAATTGTAATTCGTTATAGATACATACGCATGCATTCGTACGAACATTCGTCCTTATGTTCTAAAACTGAATTGTAATTCGTTATAGATATACGCATACATTCGTATGAACATTCGTCCTTGTGTTCTAAAACTGAATTCTAATTCGTTATAGATACGTACGCATACATTCGTATGAACATTCGTCTTTATGTTCTAAAACTGAATTGTAATTCATTATAAATACATGTAGACATACATTCGTATGAACATCTGCCCTTATGTTTAAAACTGCAATTTCCTTGTTTTGTATTATGATAGATCTGTGAAGGGAGAAAGGGAGTTCAACAAACACAAATACAATTCCTCTCGCACTCTGAGCTTTATGAATTCCTGCTGGCTATCGATAGGTTCATTGTTACATCAAGGGGGTGCAGAATATCCACGTTCTCTAGCTGGTAAACTTTGAGACTTATAATGTTACGTTTTCCATATAACGCAATCCATTTATTCTTATAATTAGTAAATAAGGTAGTTTTGACATGACATGACATTGCATGACAGGGAGTCGAGACAACAAGAATCACAAGCCTACCAAAGAATGAAACGAGGCCCTACCATAGAGTACTATACTAGATTGTACATGCTGTATATTTATACTGGTTGGAATGGGTTTTCACCCGGCTAAGAGGCTTCTCCCGAGGCTAAATACCTTTAGGAAACAATCTAAATTGAAAATTAACAGATAGTTGATAGGCAACATCCAACCTGAAACTATGTCTTCTAATTTAAGCACGTATAACAACTGTAATGTGGTGGATGGGGATAGTGATCATAATCCAGACATACACGGCCAACTTGGCAGCGTTCTTTACGACAGGTCGACTCAACACTGACATCAACTCTGTTGAAGACCTTGGTGGACAAAATAAAGTTATATATGGTAAATCTTATTGTTAAATTTTATACAAGTATAAACGCTTCATAACCACACGAAAAGCAATACAAGAAGAAAAAAATAGACTATATCCGAAATTGTTCATTGGTTAGGTGTATGATTAAATAGATTAAAATTCCTAAATTCACTAACCTTTTATAGCATTACTATCTAGCTTTCGACAACACCTGTTGCCTTTCTCAAGATGTCTGAATTTGGCGGGGAGACTTAGGATATAAGGTTTCCCCGAGTCTACTTGAGGTTGCTAGGTCAAAGATCAAGTCAAGGTCAAATCTACCAGTTTCCCGCCAAATTCAGACATCTTGAGAAAGGCAACAGGTGTTGTCGAAAGCTAGATAGTAATGCTATAAAAGGTTAGTGAATTTAGGAATTTTAATCTATTTAAAAATAGACTAGTTTGAATTATAGTAATCAGTGTTACGTAGAATGTAGTCTCGCTCTTGTTAAATCTCTTACAACACGATCACATTTGCACATTTGACTTGTTTTTCAATTGTTTCAATTAAATTTGATTTAATACAGTCTATTAGTATTTGTATGATTTACAGGGACTATACAAGGGGCGTCCCCGCACCAATACTTTATGGACAGTAACATCACGTTGTACAGATTGATGCAGGAATTCATGGAAACAAGTGGAGGCCTCATGCAAGATACGAAAGATGCTGTGGAGAGGGTAGGTGGAGATCATAATATATTAATCTCTCAGGCTGTTTGATTTGGAAAACTGCATTTTGACACATACGTTTTTTTAAGTGACTTGTATAACCGTCTCTTCATTTAATTGAATGTTGCTGTTCAAAAACTAGCCGTTAGCCAGTACCTGTTGAATTCGCCAATAACAAACATCAAGCGTGTTTGTTTACTGGCATCCATCCATGCTGGCATGTAAAGAACACTATTTTTCAAGGGGAAACTATTTTCCTTTGTTGGTATGAGAAGTGTTAGCTATATAAAGCTCGAAATTTCTGTTATAGGCGCGGAAGGGTAACTATGTATTCATCTGGGACGATATTGTTTTGAACAGTTTTGTTCAGAGCAAGCCATGCAACACACTCAAAACAGTTGGGCGATTGTTTGGTAAGATTGGCTATGGGTTTGCCTTACAGAAGAACTCACCCTACAAACACGAACTATCGACGCATATATTACAATTACGGGAAATTGGTTTTATGGATGAGTTAAAGAAAAAGTGGTAACTCATATTTTAGTACTATATTTCAGTATTTCCAATAGCATGTTAGTAATATCATCATAGAATTTATCATATACTGTAAAAGAAAATATACCAGAAAGGGTGTATAAAGACCTTGTATTTCAATTATTTCATATATACCATTGGGGAAACTGTCACTGACAATAGACGCCTAGATTTATTGAGGCCAATACTCTTTAATGTTAGTAACCCATTTGCCTTACTCCATCATATAAGATGATATTAGGATTTAGGAATGTTTCTTAATCCAGTTCCAGGTTTTCTGAAAATTAGGTCAGCACGTTTTTTAAAAATCATTTTCCCAATTGTACAAAGTGTTGGAATTTGGCATTGTTGGTTGCGTTGGAATTGCGTTGAACATGGACTGTATAATGATGTCTTGTTTGGATTCACGAATAATAAAGAATTCGAGTTGTCTGGATAATCATTGATAAAATTTCTAAAAAAAGATGACCTCTGATGGATCCTTGTAAAACTCCTATTTTTGATTTCATTACAATATATCCCATGACCTGCATCTGGTTATGAATTATCACTATTAAGTATGATGCAACAATCAATTAAAAAATCTTATCTGAAAAATCACATCATTTCAATGTGTACAATGATACTGCAGAGGGGAGTCAAAGGCTGTCGCCATATCAAGAAACACCACCAGACATTGTTTCCCTGTTGCTTACTAGTATAATAGGAAAAACTTCATTCAATTACTTACCAAAGCTGGATAAGAAGTTATATAAATGGGTGTTTCAATGGTGTAAATATCAAAATATTTGAAAAATATGTTCAGGTTTGAAGACCGTACTGAGTGTTTTGGAGAGAGCACTGGAGAATCTGAAGCAGATGCTGCATTGGCGGCGGCTGGAGGGAGAATGGGAATTAATCACATGTTGGGTAAGGATCAGAGTCGTGCAAAATTTGACAAATATGAATAGTATTCATCCTAGATCATACCGGATATCCAGTCTCAATTATCAAACAAACAAGTGACCATACATACGCATTCGTACCTGTCAAGCTATAAAATTGATGAAGTTGTTTATCTTCATACAACCTCATTTTGAACTTTCCAGGAGTTTTCCTCATCATATATACAGGGCTAGCCCTCAGCTTTGCTGTGCTTATAATAGAGTGGATTATTGCGTCTATTGCAATAGTAGGCAAATATGAAGTAAGTGCAATGAAGTTTTATACGTTTGAGATTCGCTCACAAATTCAAAGTTGAAAACGCAAAACACATAATTAGTTTATGTGTTATTAGTTTAGTCATAATGCGTGTACAATTGATGTTTTTTTCAGGGTACTGCTACATTCAAAGATGCTGTAATGCTAAGATTCAAAGTCCTTTACCAAGACATGAAGGAAGACTGGTGTCCAAATATCCCGTACTTTTTTAGTAGAACTTTGAGACATACTGTCTCACAGCAAGACCGACTAAATGAGCTTAATAAGGAATACAGACAAATTCAATTCAAATCCCGACTAAGCGTAAGGTCTAGTTTTGATAAAGCAATGCTGTCGATGACTAGAACCAAATCTCCCACGTGGAATGCACACTCGATGGTTATAACCTCCATGAGTGCTCCTCCTGTAACAGACACCACACGATCAGTATTCTTCCAGCCAGATCTCGCACTTTCCCCTATGGAAAGTCTCAAAACTGAAAAACAACGAGACTTCATATTGGATTCCAAATATGACAATACAGAAACGTTTTGGTCAAATGGATGTAAACAAACGGATATGACTGTCCATAAGAGTCTACCTGATTTGTCAAGGGAGCCGCTTAGATCACCTCCGAGCCTAGATAGACTTAAATGCGAAAGCACGTCATTTCACACAAACACTTCCGGAACGCTATTGTCCAGTGCTAATCATGACAAGAAGCAATCCAGTGCAGTTTGGAGATATCTTACATTCATTAGAAATATTAACAAGATTGAACCTCTTCATGAATAAATGTTCCACAACACCGATTCCAACCGCAGAAAAAGTGTTGAATCTATATGTTAACCATAATTATAGGAAATAAAATAATACACTATTGTAAAAATCTTTAGTTTTCCCGAAATAAAGTATGCACTTTAGAAAATAGACCTTAGAAAAAATGACATGAGCTAAAACATTCTAAAAATATGTTTTATTATAGATTACTCGCTAGATCTGATTCTCACTCTAAAACCCGAATGGTGTTACATCATTAAACTTGATATTCTTCTTTTACAGATAAGGTAAAAATATCAAAATTAAAATAAGGTATTTATTTATATTTATTTAACATCAGTATTTCATGTTTCTTAAATATTAGTTTTCCAATGCCTGGATAGTATTTGTACAAGCATATAAGAACTATATTACCTCATAATGTCTGTACTAGCAACTTTAAATACTGCATATATACAATTATGACAGTTAATAAGCTATATCACATTCTCAAATTTTCAGTTACATTTTCAACTAACCCCCCTAAGGTCTGTAATATGTCATTTATACCTTAGGCCTAAGGTCAGTATATTGAAGTTTTCAATGATGAGACCTTAGGCCTAAGGTCAGGTATATGACTAAACCATGCGCTAAGGTCATGTAAATCACGAAACGGTATATATATCGACGAGACTTTAGGCCTAAGGTCGGGTGTATAAGGAAACCATTCATTGATTAAGACTTTGGCCTAAGGTCATGTTAATCACAAAACGGTATATTGACGAGACCTTAAAGCTAAGGTTGAGTGTATAAGGAAACCATTCATTAATGAGACCTTAGTCCTAAGGTCAGTTAATTTACAATTAAATGTTATATCGATAATTATGAGACCTTAGGTTTGAGTTTGAGGTCAGTTGTATTGGAAAATCATTCATTGATGACACCCAATGCTTAACATCAGTTAAATTACGATTTACAGTATATATCGACGAGACCTTAGGACTAAGGTCTGGTACATAGGGAAACCATTCACGAATGAGACCCTTTGCCTAAGATCAGTTAATTAACAATATTTGATATATCAACGAGACCTTAGGCCTAAGGTCGGGTATAAAGGAGACCATTAATGAGACCTTAGGCCTAAGGTCAATAAATATAAGTGTGACATCTGACCCTTGATGACCCATGTTTAAGTGACCTAAGATCAAGGTCATCCCAAGGTCAAAAGTTGATTTCTTGATATAAGGCATTAAAATGCGTTTGGGGGCTGTTGCGACCCTTGGCTACCCATAATAATGTGGCCTGAGGTCAAGGTCAATGTTTATGGGTCAACGTCATTTCAAGGTGAAAGGTTAATATCTAAGCGTGACTCTTGGTGACCCATGATTAGGTGGCCCTGGCCTTGAGATTAATGCTATTCCAAGGCCATATGTTAATATCTAGTTTATAAAGCTCCTTGGGGCTGCTGTAACCCTTGGCGATCTATGATTAGGTCAAATGTCAGTATCTACACTGGTGATCCACTCGATTACGATGGTTACCGAAACGGAATTCGTTTCGGTAACAAAATGTCGGAACATCGAAGGTATGATTTTTCTTTTTTCCTTATTTCACACGTTGTAGGCAAAATTCCCACGACATATTTAATACAAACGTGTATCAGTATCATCCAAACCGTTTATGTAACTTAAGTGAGGAATTAAATCGACGATTCTGTTGTCTTCTGAGCTATTTTTTCGCAAACATGTACATTTTCTAAAACATATGATACTGATATACGTTTGTGAGAAAAAACGTCGTGGGGATTCTACCTACAACGCGTGAAATAAGGAAAAAAGAAAAATCGTACCTTTGACGTTCCGACAAACCGAACCGTTTCGGTAACCAGCGTATTCGAGCGGATCACCAATGCTGATACCAATTTACCAAACAATTATATGGGAGCTACTCAAGACCACTTCTTCTGCAGTACTCCGAATATTTAGGAGCGGAACCTGGAATAATATTTTCAATTCAAGCACCAACGAAGATTTGATCATGAAAATAAACATCAGTTTTCTTTATCGGAACCAATTATATATATCTAGAAAAGCCTATCATATGTGTTACGGTACTATTTTCGTAGTACTTTTTTCATGCAATTCATCTACACAATACTCAATTCATCTACACAATACTAAATATTCAAAAAAATTGACTTACACTTAGCGAGGTTCAAACTTTCAGCATCCGGTACGTTATTATTTAGATCGAGATTTCCTAAAATTACACATACAATGTATATATTAGTAACTTACAAAACAGTTCACCTTAACTTACAAACGATTGTTATTTATTATATCATCTACTATACAATACTAAATCGTATAGTATACATGGGTTAATATTCGATACGTTGAATGATTAACTGATGTAAATCAAACATTTCTGTTAAACACAATATCTAGGTTATTGGACTAATACTAACTCTTTAACTATCTTTAAATTTCATGTTTTCAATTTCTTTCATTTTTTAAACATAAAATGCTTGACACGCCAATTAATGATGAGTACTGTTTTTCAAACTTCTCAAGGGTGTGTACTTACAAATTGTCAATGAATCGTCGTAACGATTCTTTATATTTCGGGAAGAGTGGTTGTCTCTTGTTTCCTTCATGATACTCCCAACGTGAAAACCTCGAAAACTCATTCTCCAATAAATATTGCATAACTGATCGCGACATTTCTAGCTCCACTTCTGGATCTTCTGTTAACTTTCGAAAGAGTCGCTTTCCTTTGGTAGATGCCAATTTCTCGAAAAAGGCAATGAGTGCGTCGAGTTTTTCCCGATGGGTATAGAATTCCTCGATCAAGGAAAAGCAGTCATCCAGGCCGAGCTCAAAATATGACCTCATTGGAATATCCCAACTATCAATGCTTCCTTTGTCAAACTCTTCTTCATCGTCATCGCCTGAATTATCAGAATCATCCTCATCTTCATCACTGGATGTGTCGAAATTATCTTCTTCAATCGTAACTTGTGCCCGGTATGTCTTTTTGCCTAGGACGTTGATTTCGGCAATATGCATGCTAGGAAGACTCGGTTCTTTTACAATCCAGTTGTGGTATGCACCATATATCAAAATCGGGTCTGGACAACGGGCAAGAATGCTTTTTAATTCGTGCATCCCCCTTTGCGTTGGATCTTTTCGCAGCATGTGGAGAATTCTATCTTCGGGCTCTTTGTTTTGTGCTTTTTCCACCAAGTCACTGCCTTTCAAACCAATGGATTTTATAAGATCTAAGCACATTTCCAGAAGGCGTTGATACAATTCTATGTCTCTTTCTTTATATCCAGGCATATTCTCCTTATCCAGGAAATATGCTTTGGATACACCCATCATAAGACTGACGGCCAGTATATCATCTGGTTTCGTTCGATCTGTCGGATCCTCACCGTCAAGATGATCTAACTTCAGGGTCACCAGATTCCGTATTACCTCGAGTATATCTAGGAAACATTTCGGAGCGTATTCCGTGCCATTTAGCTGGCACTCTCTCAGGTGATCGCTAATTAAAGTTTTTATTACGTATGAATTATTGGCAATTCCGACCATTTTCTCTGTGGCAAGATATTTCAGAATCATATGGATTTGCTTGTGCTGAACTGCCATGTTTCTTATCTTTCTCTTTTCTGCTTTGCCAAATGACATCGTCCAGCACGATGGACAAGGGAATTCCCCACGTTCACCAGTTGGCCTAGCAATCACTACGCTGGCATCTTCAGAGTGCTTTAAATGACCGTATCTCTCCTTGTTTATCTTTATTGGATCGATCGTAATTGCAAGTGTTATGTCTACAGATGCAGGACAAAGGGGGCCTGTTATCATTGTTTCCACGTTAGGTCCAGAAGCACCGGGTCTTGAAACGTACTGCACACGTTTGTCATACATTGCGCCTGGACCAAATACTTTATCGACAACGGGATTTTTTCCATCTCCCTTCCATGGAGGTATTCCCAGTTTTTTGAATTTGTTATGTTTTAACATCATCGATCTCTTGGACATAGAGTTGAAGTACCTATGCATGAATTTAGCAGACAGATATCCCTTCTCTGATAGAACAGGTACGGTATACTCTGCATCAGAATAACTTTGATAGCCTTCAGCATACGGAGCTGATTTCAGTTCGGATCCTTTAAAATCAAAGTCAGCATTAGGACAAGGCAGGGATTTCACATGCGAGAGGAGTGAATGATTGTTAATTTTAACATGAGCCAAACCTGGCTTACAACCTTCCACAACGGTGAACATAGGAGAGTTCTTCAATATACCCATATAGTCAAACTCGTCTGCTTCTAGTATTTTTGTTCCATCATAATAACTACCCGTATTCACTCGCTCTTCTATTTCAAACCAAGGGTCGAATTCCTTTATGCTAGCAATGACATTTTCGATGTTTTCCTCCATAAAACGTTGCTGTACATCGAGTTTTTCGAGATCTCCTTTACAGTTTATCGATGCTTCTTTGTGGAGCATGCCAATTAATTTTTGCATTCTTAACTGTCCTTCAAGTTCACGATCCATCTTTGTAGGCTTCACTTCTCTCTCTATGCTATCTTTAACAACATGTACAACATTCATACGCCCACTTAACCTGGCATCTAGCTATCTTCTGCCATGTCTGTATATATGCTGTTCAATCTATGTTGGCTAAGTATTTCAATTTGTACTTTGGTCGTTAAAGAATATTGTTTAAATAACCAAATAAATCACGAGACACTTGAGACCTCTGCGTGCATTTTGTGTTTTGGATGATTCATTGGATCGTTAAACTGTAAATATTCGATATTATGATAGAAATGTCCTTTATAGGCAACTAGATCAGCATCAGCCTAAGTGACAAAAATACATTGTGGTTTGTATGTGGGTCATGCAACGACTCCATTGAGTTATCATGTATAACATGACCTACATGTATGTATACGGTAGCATACACCCTATAGGGGTCGAGCAACATAACACTGAGTAGAAAATATCTCCTATAGGGGTCATGCATGTACCACGTGACTCATGTTGAAGGACACTGGGGTTAAAACAACTTTGAATGGACATTGGGATTTAAAAAGGGTGTTAAATATGATATCTATAACTTTAATTGCAATAAATGAATAGGAGTTATATCCTGATGTTTGTCTTTACTTATTACTATGTTATGATGGTGAACTTGACTTGGCTGAAAGTGACACAACCCCATTTCTGACATGGTCACTTAAATCCCTCATTGCTCAGTCATCCGTGGAGGAAAATATAACATCTTGGTATCAAATGAAAGAGGACATAGAGACGCAAATGATGGTATGCGAATTTCCCCTACCATTATTCATCTTTGAGAAATAAGCAATTTAATCTCGGTTTCCTTTTTTGGGACACCCTGTATAAATAGGGTCAAGCACCGTGTGACCTCCTGTGCATGATTATTGTTTCGAAATTAAGACAGTATGATTTATCTATGTTCATGCAGCCCCGTAGCCAGGGGGGGTCGATATGTTCGAGCTAACCCTCCCCCTTGACCAAAAATTCTTTCAAAACCATGTAGTCTTTCACCATTCTGAGCACTTTTTAAGTGGTTTTGACTTTTTTGGACCCTCCTGGAATTTTATAAAAAGCGAACCCCCCCCCCCCCCCCCCCTTGGCAAATCCTAGCTACGGGCCTGTGGTTCTTTAAACTGATGATTAGTTACTTTATAGCTAGAGGCTAGAAGATTCTAAGCTACAGGTTGTATGCGAGGGTGTAGAATCATGGTCCTCTAGCTAGGAATTACATTGTATACCAGAATCATCGTGGAGTATCACAGGAAGTCATCATGGCATGACTTTGGAATATGAAGAATCCGTAGCACACCATAGCACAGCAACATTTGAACTAATATTACAGAAGTTTCACATGTCTTGATCTTTTTTCAAATACCAGTTGCTGAAAAAAAACTTCCAGCTTTAGGGTCGAAATATGCCTTTCATCACAAGTTGTTAAATAATACATATTTTCATTATAATTTTTATGCATTAATATACGACACAAATCTGAACATAAACGTATATACAATGAATTGGATTATCATTATGTAAAGATAAATTGTAAATATGGACTGCGCATTTGCAACAAAATCATGCGAAATATTTAAATACTTCATAATTGCTAACATATTAGTTTTTACTACTAAACGCAATATAATTAAGTTTACTGAATTTATCTCTATCATCGCCAAGGGTCAAACAACAAATAATTGTTTATATTTCATAGAACATAATAAAATGACAAAAATTAATGGATAAGGAAAATAACTAATTGAATGTTACAGTCCATCGTATCTAATATTTGACAATAAGCAGATTCAATCGAACACCTTACATATTATCATTGTATCAAAAGAATTACGCCTACGACAACAGAATCACAATACGAAGTACGTATTACTGCCTCGTATTAAATGTGAAAGACCAAAATCAAAGTTAGTAGGACTGTTTTCAGGATACTGAATTGAACTATGTTTTCGGCCAAACGCTAAGTTTTGAAATGCCTGTAACTTTTTACCATTTGTGAGTTGAACCATGATACTTGGCAAATCAATGTAACTTTGGATAAGCTTTAAAATGATATATGACACATACCATGGAGACATTGGTATATGTCTGCCTAGGGAGGGGGGGCATACTTTCGGGACACCCTGTAGATCAATCAGATAGAAATTCATAAAACTGCTATATAGCCCATATATCACAGACACAGATTAGATTCACCATTGGCGGCAAGAGAAGACATATTAGATCAAACACAGGGTGGCAACTACCGCGACACTGTGATATGATTTGTATCTAACAGGAATGCAGCCTTCATCAAAATACCTCATTAGTGTCCAAGCATTTTAAATGTGCGATTCTTACGAAATATGTGTTGTTTGGGTTTGAAAACTTTGTACGTCATGATATACAGAAATAATTACTCTTCTGTGTTACTGATATGATGAAGGCCCTTGGGAATGATATCATGGCACAAAGGCGCACATTGGACAGTCCTTTCGGACTGCATTTATCATTATCTGCTTTTCGTTATTCAAACAGACACGGCGAGAGGCTTATAACGACTTATCTACTGCTATATTACTTGACACTGGGTGTTTCTACATATTAACATAATACATAAGGGCTATTAGAATGGATTTCTCAGGTAAATGTGTTGTGTTGACGGGCTCTAGCAGTGGTATCGGAAAAGCAACAGCTTTGTTGTTTGCAAAGCGTGGTGCAAGCGTTCTTCTCCATGGACGCAACAAAGAAAGGCTACAAGAATCTGTGGAAGAGTGCATAAGGATTGGCAAGCAAGATGCTAAATTTCCGTCTGTGTTAGGTGATGTGGCCAATGATGAAGTCCTAAGGAATATTCTGATTGCAGTCAATGAACAATTTGAACGACTTGATGTGCTTGTTAATAGTGCTGGTTTCGTAATCGCCGATGATCTTCAAAACGGAAACATTAAAAACTTTGATTTACAGACCAATGTACTTTTGAAGGCACCGATACATCTCTCCCAAATGTGTTTGCCTTTGCTCGAAAACCACAAAGGGAATATAGTGAGTGTGTCTAGCATAGGAAGCAGTGTACCTGGCGCTGCCCCTTACTATAGTATTGCTAAAGCTGGACTTGACATGTTTACAAAGTGTGCAGCCCTCGAATTCGGCCAGAAAGGAGTTCGTGTTAATTCCATTAATCCTGGTTTTGTTCCGACAAATATATTAAAAAGTTCTGGAATGACATCCACAGACGCAGAAGCAGATCAATTTGGTAAACTTATGCGTAGTACTAATATATCATACCCCATAAAAGTTGATTCAAGAAAGTAAAACTATATTTGTAAAAATGGGTATTAAAATTAAGAGATTCAAGTATATATTCCTTAAGCTATGTTTGAGGATTCTGCAAGGTGAAATCAGGGCATTTACGAAAACTATATTTTCAAATGCTGTTATTCCATTCTTCTTCTTTACCCTGCGCCATGTGTGTTGAAATCAACGAAAAGGATGGGTATCGATATGGTGAACTTTTTGAACACACCACATTTGTGGAAGCCCAAGTATACTTGGCTACCCAACTATTCCGACTCTTGCCGAAGTGTTCTTACCTGACCCAAGTATTCCGAGTTTGCTTTTTTTTCAAATACACTCGATAAATGTCTTGTTTTTTATTGTGGTTGGTAACTTTGCACAATCAGCCTCAACCGTCTTGCTTTGCAGCACAGGTTTCTCATATTACACATGACCTTAGATCTTGTGTCTCATGTTTCCAGTATGATAAATCAACAATGTTAATTAAACCAGTGTGTTGGAAGATACTAGACAAATGGTATATGCATATATGGAAAAAGTAATTCATTGCATTGGTAACACATATATCTAACATCACAATTTTAACACATTTTTTATGTAGGATAATAAATATCAACGCAATCAATTGCAATGCTCTGTATATGCTGTAATCTGGGTGTGTATTACCTGAGACTAACATAATAGTCTGAGGTTCCATAAACAAAACAAAACTTTGTTTTGTTTGGTAAAAAGCCATTATTTAGGATAAATAAGCAATATTTTCAGTATTTATCGCATGGTCATGAAAACCAGCTGTGTTATCATCAAAATAGCACATATACTGTATTTAATGTTGTCCATATCAACACACACCTAGCAGACTTTACTACAATAACAGAATTTGAAAATATCAATTGTCGTGTTTTATTTGAGTTTTAGTGTTGTCTTAGTTAGTTTGTTAAATAGACCTAGGTTTTGTTTAGTATTCTATAAGTACATATAACTATCATTTTATTCTCATAAACAGTTTGTTAAGCATTTGTCTCATTTTGATATTTGAGGACTATTTATAACTAATTTTGATTAACATTGTTGACTCCGTTTAGTTAGATTCTTATATTTTTATTACAGCTAATTTGATTAGGGCAGTGACTCCTCTTAATAAAATTGGAACAGCCGATGAATGTGCAAAGATGATAGTGTATCTTGCCTCCGACGATGCCTCAATGATGAATGGACACTGCTTGGTCCATGATGGGGGACTAGGTCTAACAGGTCTAGATAAGAAAACATTGGAGCGTGCTGCAAAATAAGTGCCACAAATATTATGCCTAGTAAAACTGGTTATTGTCCAATCTCTGCCCCACTATATATTTCTCAACCCATAGCTTGCAATTGTTTTAGACAGAATATTCCAGGGATCAAGTTTTGATATTGAAATGGACTATTATCGGCTATTCTAAGTGATTCTCAATTTTAATATTTCAAGACAGAAATAATGTTTTTGGTAGTAATTTTGTAGTTTGAACCAATTCCACTATTGTGCAGCGATTTTCGATTTTAAAAGGCTCCAATCTGAAACACAATATTTGTGACCTTCAGTACTCTTAAATACCTCAACAGTGAATAAATACATACTTTGGGCAAGACAAACATGTTGAGCATTTTGAGAGTTTCTAATTTACATTCGCCAATCATTTAATACTTGACTTATTATTCATTTTTTATACTAAAGATTTAGTCATATGATAATGTTTATTCTCTAAATAACAATTGATAAATAAAAAAATAAAATCAAAACACAATCTGGATTAAATAGGACTATCCTTTTTCCAGAACCATTGGTAATCAGGTAAAAA